GATCAAATTTTAACACATCCACCACAAAATCAGACTTTTAATACCGCCTTTTACTTTGAGATTGATCTGAAGTTCAATGCAGATTTAAAATCATAAGAAATAGTTTACTGATACTGTTTTTGAAACCAAATATTTGCATAACTACAGGAAACACTGCATCTAACAATGGTTTGGAAAAAAATAGCTAATTAAAAATAATAATAAATAAAAGCATATACCTGTACATCAACTCAAATACGGTTATCTAATAAGCATGTGTCCTATTCTGTGTACTAAACTCCTGAAACATTGGTGTCTTTTTGAAACATTGGTGTCTCTTTGTATATGATATGATGATAGTTTTCTCAAAATAAGTAAAATGCTCATGAAGTGACTCAGAGCAGTTCTAGAGATTATGTTTATGTGTTCATGTACTCATATATTGAGGCGGCAGAGGCTGTAAACACCGTGAGCTTCAGTAGGCCTATGTGTAGTAAATTAAACCACATGTTTGCGCCATTAATTTCCACGAGGGGCGGACTGGGAAAACATTTCAGGCCGGGAAATCTCACACTCATACACCCACAACAAAGGTTGGGGGCATGCAAAATAATTAAAAATTCTCTCCTGAACTGCACCTTCACTTACATTTTTCTTTGCAGTCTCTTTATTTTGCCCTGATATCTATCTCTCAGTATCTTTATGGAAAAATCATAATACTGAACAGGAGTCATATTTTTCCCTTACAAAAATCAACCATGCTTTTATTATAGTAAATTTTTTTGCAAATGGATTACCATTTGTATTTATTTTTACTACAAATTCCATGGTTAAACTATCACGACTAACCGATTCATGATTTATTAGATATTTCATTATCGAATGGCAAATTCGGAAATAATCGCTTTAGTACATTCGGCAGGCAACTATACAATAATAATATTAAAATAGCGGGCCAAATCGGCTGCCAGGCCACCGGGAATTGTCCCGGTTCTCCCAATGGCCAGGCCGCGCCTGATTTCCACAGACACGCAGAATGTGCAGGATTCATATATTGTCTTTTTGCGGCTTAATATTCACAGACACTAGTCCATATCGCGTTTTGATTCAAGTGTACTGACCTACTTTTGATTTATTCGTCCAAAATGTGGCATATTCCATCCGCGTTAGGCTATAGGAATTCCGTTTTTATAACTGGATTATGAACCAGTCTGTGTTTTCCGCATCACGGAAATTATAGGGCCGTATGTCTCAGAGTAATCAGTGCAATTACATCTGTATGTGGATTTGTGTAAATATTCAAATGAAATCCCATTTGTAATCGTTAACATTTTCATAAGTAACTGTAATTTAATTACACATTTTTTCTTAGTAACTGTAACTGATTACAATTACATTTATTTTGTAATTAAATTACGTAACGTCGTTACATGTAACTAGTTACTCCCCAACACTGAACACCAGTAACATCATTGTGATGGCAACTTTTGCATGGGCTTCACTCTGAATAAAGTGTAAATATCTACTTTAAACCATTTATAGGTGGTTAACACAGCTGAATTCATGGCAAAATGATTTAACTTTCATGTTCCTGCAAAACAAACCTGAAACTTCCAGTGTAACACTGCATGAGAAAGAAGAAAGTTCCTCGGTGATAAGAGTTTATTTCTTTGTATTCAAGGTCAGTACCATGTGTTCTCTGAAATCTTGAGTGTCTTGCTTTCAGGTTTGTGAATTAGCAACTTTGAACTGTCTTTTTTTTCAACTTTCATACACTCGTAAACACGCATGCACGCACACACACTCACACACACACACAAAAAATACTTATATTTCTGTGTGCATTGAATGAACAGTGTATATTTTGCCTGCTTCTCTCGCTGTCTCTCTAAATGTGTGGCTAGTTTCAACCCCGCTGGTCATGAGACATAGTTTACTTTTAGACTAATCAGTGTCTTCTCAAGTTTAACTTTTCCCAGATTATGTTTCAAATGCCTGTAAGTCTTAAATGTAGAATGTAAACACTTGCCCATACTTGTTGAACTCTCATGACTGATGTCACCCATAGGCCTCAGCTCAAACCAGTATTTCAACTATTCATAAAATGGCTTACAGATACTCATATCAGATCCCCAATCAGCAATTCACCTTAGACTCTTCAAAATTGCCCATTATTGTCTCATTTTCAAAAGGTACCATTTAAATTAGGGCTGTGTATTGGCAATAATCTGGCAATACGATACGTATCACGATACAGGGGTAGCGATGCGATATGTTGCGATACATTGCGATACTGTAAGCAAGGCAATATATTGGGATATTTCTTATTTTATGAATAGGATATATTTTTAGGAAAGCTGTCATTAAGAACACACCACCATATGCAAACCTTAGCAATAAATGAATAAAAATTATTTAACCAGAACACAGTGGGATCTGCATTTGCAATAATCAGTCCCTGTAACATTCAATGTTATTGAATCACTTTTTGTGCAGTACGAGTAAAGGGGGAAAAAATGAAAGGATCCTTTAGTTAAATGTATATGTATGTAGCGTCTGGACCAATCAGACACCATTTTTCATTTGATTTAACAAATCAATTATTCATTAGATTAACAAACGTTCACAGACCCCTCACGCAATAAACATACTGGGTGCCAAGTTGTCTGTGAACAGGGCCCAGGACCCTGGTTACCATGGCAACCCTGACACCAGATACATTTACGACCTAATGGAATGCGAAGCAGGGAAAATCACTGCATGTTCCATCGCAAGAGGCACAAGGAACAGTAGAAATGGACTTTTCTAAGGAAAACCTTTCTTTGAATGAACAGTGTATCCTTCAGGTCATGGTGTATGTTGTCTTTGATATTTTTAGACTATTTTATGCATGCTTATGATGGAACCCATTCCTATCATCCTGCCTATATGTAATCCTACCATGTTTAGTATCTATTTAGAATTGACAGACAGTTGACCCTGAGAGGTCAAGTAAATATCTACAGCGGATCTAAATATTTATAATTAATTATAACTAGTTATGATTAATTATTCATATTTCCCTTATGAGCTGATTCGCTACATGTATAAAATGTATTTTATAAAAATACCATATTTTAGACCCTGCTTTAAAGGTTCACAGTTTAAGTTTACAATTGTAACATACAATGTCATTTGATTTTTTACCGAGAACCGTTGCACCCCTAATGGTAATGTTGCCATTTTAAGATGACACATGAACAAAATATAAGATGAAATACTAAAGTCGTGCTCGAAAGTTCACTTCTTAAAAGAACGATGATGTCATTATTATAGCAAAGTTTTGTATATTTATATGAGGGGTGCAAATGGAACGCATTTGGTCAAATGACCCACAGTTTCCCTTGGTTTTGTTTTCCCCTGCAGTATTTCCAACTTTTATGAGTGGCGTGATTAAGCACAGTAGTTCAGAGTTACTTCCTCTTTGCTAAGGTCTCTCTGTAGGAGGTAATTACCTGTTTTGCCAGTCATAAATAAGCGAGAGAGAGAGAGAGAGAGAGAGAGAGAGAGAGAGAGAGAGAGAGAGAGTGGGGGAAAGAGGGAGGTGAAGGTAGGTGGTTTAGTATATGTCTGTGCAGGAAGCAAGACCAACAGGACAGCACAGCACCTCACGGTGAGGAGAAATATATCTACTCTGGGTCTCTTACGACAGGTTTGTTAAAGACAACAGAACTCATGGACCCTCAAGGGACACGTTTGCCTCAGAGTTATTCACGGGTCAGGAAAGCTTCTGTTATGAATGGCCTCTCTAGAGCTAAACAGGAACTGAAAGTGCTCATGGATGCATAGCCCTTCTGAGGAAGCATATGTGGGGTTGATATGTAAGAAGAGCCGATTGTCTGGTCAGGTGTTAAGGAAGTGAAGACAAAGAAAATATGAATGAAACGCAGGGGGTGAGGTAAAGGGGGTAGTTAAACAAAAGTATGAGTAATAGCACGTACAAAAAAGCTAGACTTTAGAGAAAAGGAATGGGTGAGAAGGAGGGTGTTGAGTGTTGACACATCATTCTCAGCTGGAGGGGGTAAAAGAAGGTCACCAGGGAGACAAAAGGCCAAGGGCCTGTCAAAACAAGACACTTTTGACTGTGGGGCATGCCGTATTCAGGGTGAGAGACAAAACCACTATTGTTTTAACTGGGGGCAATGGATTCATCTTCTACGTGACAGATACTCCTGAAAGCTGTTGCAGGGAAAACATAGAAAACCCATTCGTTTACTACTAATTGCCTGCCTGGTTTATTGTAGCTTAATTCAAGTGCCATCATTGTGGGCACACTCACACTGGATCCCACATTGTTTCCATTAATAGGTGCTTGAGGCTGTCACCGAGTTTACCAATGAGAAATAATTAGGATAGAGTGGTGTGGGAGGGTTGGCAGTCAGGATCAGAGTCGGGGGGATCCACCATCATTACACATGCGGGGAAAGTCTACATCCGGAGCTCTTGAAGACCTAATGCTGCCTGTAAACATCACTGCCATGCTTGTATTTAGTCCTGTTTGTCGACGAAGGTGGCGTTTGAAGTACTCTTGTTGAATTGGCATGCTAGCTATTTTGACGCACTCGACTGTAGCGTGAAAGCCCGAGTCGAGTCAATGAGCTGTTGTGACTTCTGTTAGGGTTGATAGTTTCCGTGATGCATATTCGAAATAAATACCAAGACACATGGAGAGATTCCATATGCTATTAATTCATTTAAATAAATATTTTGGTTACGTTTTATTTTAAGGTGATGTCGTTACAATGTAATTACACAGTACTAGGTAATCTTAATTAAATGCATATACTTACTATAGGGTTAGGGTTCGGTTTAGGGTTCGGTTTAGGGTTAGTTATTTACACATAATATTGGTGACTGTCACCTTAAAAGAAATTTGGTTTTAATATTGGTAAATTACCAAAGTATTGCAAAATGTAGTGCATTAACAATCATTCATAGCACGGATTGGTTGACTTGTTTGTAATGTCCTTGTCTTTCTGCAGCAGGGAATGGGCAGTCGGTGCAGACGGACCCCAGTAAGTCTGGATTCGTGGGTGACACGGTCGAACTGCGATGTGTCTTCATCAACGGTAAGCCACCAGTGAAGATTTCTCAGGTCACCTGGCAAAAGCTGATAAATGGCACCAAACAAAACGTCGCCACCGCTAACCCAGACTTGGGAGTATCAGTGCTGCCCCCTTTCAAAGACCGTGTGAGCTTCAAGCATCCAGCTGTACGCCAGAGGTCCCCTTCTACTCTTGAGGATACCACCATTGTGTTCAGCAACCTACGGCTATCTGATGAGGCAGCCTACATCTGCGAGTACACCACCTTCCCAGCAGGCAACAGGGAGAATATGGTCAACCTCACCGTCTTTGGTAAGACCACCATACTGGCAGCTGAGACCGTACATATATACTGCTGTTCTCCTGCGAAAAGAACACATTCACAGAGCATCAATGGGCCTCATTCATGAAACATGAGCAGAATACATTTCTGTGTATGTCATTCATGAAATAATTCTGAAATTGTCAAATTAATGTGACAGTGGGCCTCATTCACAAATAACAAGCAGATCATTGTGTAATTTGTTCAAAAAACATTTATATTCCATGCTAAAATTTGTGCAAGTTATTCACATTAACTGGTACAATTTATGTAAGATGTTTTATACAAAAATTTGCATTGAATGTAATAAGTAAATAAATAAACAGTAAATTACGAACAGTTAAAACATTTTTAAAAATGCAGTGCAGTCCCAAAACACTGGTTTGCACTGAGCAGCAAGTTCTCTGCACACATATAACACCGTGGAGGACAGCACAGAAATAGGTGTCATTTTCTTGAATATTCTCCGCACTCTTAGCACTGACATGGTGAGAGATTTTTGATTAAAGGTGTCGTCATGGTTAGCAGAGAGTAAGGTGTAAATGGATGTTGTTTCAGCAATATTTTATTCATAACCCTGTAAGCCCTTCAGAAAAATCACCTTTGTCCTTGACCACTCCAGGTCTGTGAGGTGCTTGGTTAAAACCTTCACTATGCTTGAAATGTATTGATCAGTGCTCAGCACAACAGAAAGAGCTACACCCTAGCCTCGACCTTCAGATATAATGCATTCATGCATGTTTTCGCTACACACACGAGTGAAGATAAGCTATAATTTTATTAAAGGATTCCAACATTGTATTATTTTCTTACTTCCTTGAAACGCAAAATCCGAGGTTAAGCAGAATGTTCAATCTGCTCTTTGACAACACAAGTGCATGGTGTTTTATACCCAAAAAGACCATTAACACTGTAAAAGTAGTACATATCCAGATCTTCTGATGCTATACAATAGATCAGGGTTTCCCGAAATGGGGTTTGTGTGTTGATGAAAAGCTTATAATAATATAAATATAAAAATATAAAAACTGTAAAATTAAAAGAAAGAAAGAAAGAACACTTGCTAATACATATGACATTATTTATTGTATGCATGCATGTAATTTAACTATTAAACACAATCAAAGTAAACATACACGTGTGTTAAATAATGTATACAATGTAGTATTCATCAGAGGCGGACAAAGTACTCAACTCCATTACTTGAGTGAAAGTACAGATACTGCCGGTCAAATATTACTCCATTACAAGTAAAAGTTGTAAAGACAGATTTTTACTTAAGTACAAGTACAGAAGTACTTGCTTTTAAAAGTACTTAAGTACCAAAAGTAAATTTCCCTTTTTATGTCATGGTATTCATTGTAACTATGTAAATAGTGTAGTTTCATTGATATACTGTTATATTTTTTGTTAATATTTTGAATTAGTTTTATTTTTATATTTGCTGTTTTCATTTTAATTTTAGTTATAGTTTTAGCAATTATGTGTTTTTGTCATTTTTATTATTTTATTAATAACAGTTTTTGTTATTAGTTATTAGCTGCACAGGTTAAGAACAGCAACATGATGTATGTGCATGTGTGTGTGTGTGTTTGTGTCTGTGTGTGTGTGTGTGTGTGTGTGTGTGTGTGTGTTGGAGTGCAAGAGAGGAGTATCTCATTAGGGAGGTGGGTTATGCTCCTACTGATTGCAGATCTAATTAGAAATTAAGTGTTGATATGTTTTCCATTAAGCCAGCAAAGGGAGCTGCTTGGCGTGTGTGTGTGTGTGTGTGTGTGTGTGTGTGTGTTGGAGTGCAAGAGAGGAGTATCTTAGAGAGGTGGGTTATGCTCCCACTGATTGCAGATCTAATTATAATTTAAGTGTTGATATGTTTTCCGTTAAGCCAGCAAAGGGAGCTGCTTGGCTCAAGTACAGTTTTTTTTTTACTAGTGTGGCTTGTTTACTCCCAAGCCCATTTTGTATATCACGTTCACATGCGTCCTCTGAGAACACTGGCAACATGAATAGAGATAACCAGCTCACTGTTTTCAAAGAGCCTCTTCATGTCATATCAACCCTCGACACAAACCTCAGTCCTGCTATCAGCACTCTTTGACATGCACTCACATAAACACACATCTTCCCTTTTGATGCGGGCCTGTTAATTGCTAATTGGCAGCCCATAAAGGATCGAGATTGGATGACTTTGGGAACTGCGAGAAACGAGTGGTTTCTACATCTGTTATTTGAGTGCTTGACTGATGCTTTCGCTTTGAACACGGGTTAGGGGAAAAATACATTAGTGAACTGCTTGATTTATACTGACGGGGAAAAAAAGACTTTTCAGAATGGCGAGATTAGTGTTAGAGGCGCTGGATCAGTGAGAAAAATAAACATTTATTTATTTTTTTATTTTTTTACTTCACAACTTCTCAAGGGCACATTTGTTGCTCCTGTTCACACAGTACTTTAGTATATTACAGTGTTGCTTTTCTTGTTTTTTTACTGCTTACTTCTTTCTTCCAGCACGGCCAGTGACCAAGATGACCTTGACTTCACCCACCATTGTGGCAAGGATGCCGAAACGCAAGATGCCTGTAGCCACCTGCATGTCGGCTAACGGCAAACCTCCCAGCATCATCAAATGGGACACCACTCTGAAGGGTGAAGCCACGTTTCAGGAAACGCGCAATCCAAATGGCACCGTGACCGTGCGCAGCAACTACATCATGTTGCCCAGCCGCGAGACCCACCGTCAAAAGCTGACCTGCATCGTCACCTACCGTACAGACCGCTTTACTGACAGCGTCATACTCAATGTTCAGTGTAAGTTTTTCTTCGTGTCTTTCAAACTCCAACATTAAAAAAATAAATTACATTGATAGGTATGTATAACATATTCTACCATTAAAAAAGTGTGGGATAATGTTAAATGTTTTTGAATGAAGTATATTATGCTCACCAAGGATTTAAGCATCTATTTGATCAAAAATACAGTAAAGCAGCAATATTGTGAAATATTATTACAATGTCAAATAACTGTTTTCTGCTTTAATATATTTAGAAAATGTATTCCTGTGATAAAGCTGAATTTTCAGCATCATTACTCCTGTCTTCAGTGTTACATGATTCTTCAGAAATCATTCTAATATACTGGTTTACTGCTTAAGAAACATTTCTTATTATTGTCAACGTTGGAATCAGTTTTTGCTTTTTGGTATTTAATAGAGAAGAAATCATAAATTGTATTAATCAAGGATACATTAAATTGATCAAAAAAGACAGGAAAGGCATTTATAATGGTACAGAATAGTTTTGTGTTTAAACAAAGGCTGTTCATTGAACTTTCTATTCATTAAAGAATCCTGAAAAAAATGTAGCATGATTTCTACAAAATATATTAAGCAGAAAAAAACTGTTTTCAGCATTAATATCAAGAACCATTATTAATAATTGAGCACCACATCAGCATATTAGAATCATTTTTGATGTAAAATGTGACACTAAAGAAAAATCAGCTTTGCCATCACAGGAATAAATAACATTTTAAGATATATAAAAATAGAAAACATTTTTTTGTATATTTATTTATTTATGTATGTATGAATGTATGTATGTATGTGTGTTTGTGTGTGTGTGTGTGTGCGTGTGTGTGTTTGTTTGTTTGTTTTAAACAAATGCAGTATGGTGACTTCTTTCAAAAAAACATGAAACATCTTAATTGTTCCACACTTTTGATCAATATTGTATATAATATACTATATATTATAGTCCAGTATTATCTCAAAATTCAGATTTAATTCAACTGATTTAATGATTGAGCTGATGAGCTGACGATCCATCTGACTTGTCTAATTAGTGACATATTTATATTAAACCCCACTGGAATGTCAAAGAATGTCTAAACAATGCATACAAATGTAATAAGATGTTAGCATGTATGCTGTACTGTTACGTAAGTTCTGCGGAGGAGGTTCGGAGCAGGAAGAGATGTGTCACTGGCCTGTCTCAGCCGCTGTTGTTATCAGCTATTGTTTAGGGCAGTTTAGAGCAGTACTGCAGCCTCCGTACAGCACACTGATAGAGGAAATCCATCCATTCTCCCACACTACGCTATAGAATATATTGTTCTTATGGTGCGCTTGTTTGTGTGAAAGGCCATGTTTAGAGCAGCGGTAAGTTCACAGAGAATCACTCGTCCTGATTCTTGATTTACTTTGAGTGTTTTGTTAATCAAGTTACCCTTTGGTATAACATTTCCAAATTTAATTTACTCAGCCTTATACATGCTCATGAAAGCAATTAAGAATAAATCTGAAGAGACATAGAAATTGCTGACCGGTACCATCAAGTATGCAGTGCATTTTAATATCATCATTAATAGAAAAATTGTGCTGTAATGAATTGAAATTTGGCATTTAGCTGAGGTTCTTATCCAATTAGGCCAATTTCTGGAATAGTTTCCCTGGAGCAGCTTGTGGCTAAGTGGGTAGCTAAAGGGCACAGTGGTGGTTGTAGTCTCAGTAACCCTTCACTTGTTGGCCCTTCTCCCAATCGATTAAGAAATAAACTCTTGACCTTTTAGCTGAGCCCAGACCATTAATCAGTATCATGACAAGCACCCATCGTCAAGTCATGTGACCCAGAAAAGCCATCTGAGCCCCTGCCTGAAGACATTTTTTTGCTTTTATATAGATGAGCCACAGGTAAAAATCGAGGGATTTGATGGGAACTGGTACCTGAATCGTCAAGATGTAAAGCTGACGTGCAATGCAGACGCCAACCCAGCCGTCACCGTCTACCAGTGGAAACTGTGAGTTATTCTTGCCTGCCATACTAATCCACATTACTAATAATAACTTTGTTGTCACAGCTTATCAATTTAATCAGATGAATGAGTAATGTATTTGAGTGAAATACATAAAGAGGACGAATAAAAAGCCAATTGGTTTGTTTGCAAGTAACAAAATAAATCATTGTTAGATTTGAAATAGTTCTTGCTATTTTTATTTTTTTTTATTATTTTACATTGAGTTTGAGTTTGAGTTTATTTGAACCAAAAAGTAGCAATACACTGTTACAAGTTTCTTGTCAAGGATAACACAATCAAGTTGCATTAACATATTTCCATTGTGGTCCTTGCTTTTAAAAGAGAAAATAAGAAAATCCTAGCCAAAAAATCATTATAAAAAAAATTACCTCACACCCATAAAAATAACAAACAGATCAAACAATTCCTTATACATTTAAATCATCTTATCTTAAAACATCTAAAATCTAAAACAAGGGTCTCTTCACCCTTATTCTGAAACCCTCACAATCTGTTAGTACCTTGGTATTCATAGGCAGCATATTCCATTCTTTTGTGCCTGAAAAAACATCTAAAATCTAAAACAAGGGTCTCTTCACCCTTATTCTGAAACCCTCACAATCTGTTAATACCTTGGTATTCATAGGCAGCATATTCCATTCTTTTGTGCCTGAATATTTAAACGACCTTAGCCCATATAGTGTCCTATACCTACATATATTAATGTGCATAATGCTCTGTCCGGTAAAACATCCGGTCTTACATTTTATTTTTATTTTTTTTACACATTTTGAAATAATATTACAGTATTCAAAACTATTAAATAGCACAAATGTAACTGTAAAATAAAGATAATTAAACAAATGAACGACTAAACGAACGAATGAATGAATGAACAAACAAATATATATATATATATATATATATATATATGCTTAGAGGAGTTCACATGCATGCTGAACACTTGTTGCCTGATTTCCTTTACTATCTAATCCATCCAAAAAGCACACTTTTATTTTATTTATTTATTTTTATTTTTTATTTTTTTTTTTTTTAAGAAATGCATAATTTATATTTGTCTACAAAACTAATGTCAAGCATTTACTCATAAGCCTTTAGATCAAAAGGTTTTTAAGGTTTTCAAGATCCTGAGGATCAGTATGTCCAAACATTTGACTGGTTGTGTATATCGGCATCAATAAACTAAATAAAAGATGACCGATGTTTGAAGAGTACTCCTCTGAAATATTCCGTTTACTGTAATACTACATGACAGCATAGATGTGGTATGACTGATAAGAGAATAATTTCCTTCCGTAAACTACTTTTTCATTCATTGGTGGTTAGCACTCAATCAAGATAAGTAAAGCCGTTTACAATGGCTCTATTCAGAA